TATATATATATATATATAGCCTGGTGATGATTGGGTCTGGTAAATATTGTTAATGCTTAATACCAAATGTCGGTGAACCACTTGGAAACAAATTGCCACTAGGGCTTTGTCTTTAACTAAGTTGAGTCTGAGGTTTGGTAAACCTAGCTGTTAGATGTGCCACTTCACCACAGAACAAACATTAATCTTTGTTCTGTTTCTATTTTAAGAAAATAAAATAAAAAAAACAAGCTTGGTATCAATTGAAGCAGAAAACGAATCCCAGAAGCAGTATGTTAAATTCCGAAGACTTTTGCATTAGGTAGTTGGTAATTAGTCTGATGGTGAATAACATGACCTTGTTAATTATTTCTAAATTTTTCTCTTGAATCCAAGTTTTACTTTCGGGGTTTCTAGCCGCTTGAATTCTTACTCTAGTTTTCAAGTTGCAATACTGGTTCAAGTGAACAATAGAAAGTTTCCTCTTCTTTTACATCATATTGTTTTTAAGAGTTTGTTTAGATATAAATATAAAGTTTTGAATGTTTCTGAAAAATATCATATACCGTTTATTTTTGATAGAAATATTTTCAAAAACTTTTCTTACTTCTATTCAAACAGTCTCTACATAATTATTTCCACTATTTTAAAAGATTATAATAGAATCAATTGTGAACAACCACTAAACATACTTAAGATATATGGCCAAATTATATTCAGCCATAAATTAACACGTCACCATAAAAGGAATTGATCAAAACAAGAACGCTCTATACTGAACGCAATGATTTAAATATTGATTGGTCATATATAAAGCTTCATATCTTATGTTTATTTAGTCTAATTCCACGAATTCAACAAAATTCAACGTAAGCATACATCAATATTTGTAGGCACTTCGATTTTTTTTTTTTTGACAGAAAAGGCACTAAATTTATTGATATAAAAAGATGAATAGGAATACATCCCAAAAGGCTTCTATTGAAACATTATTATGAACAAACGAATAACAATTGACAACCCACCTCTCTATAATGAACTTCTCTAAGACTCAATATATTACGTCATTTATTTTTACTTTGCATGTACACTAAACTGCTTCTATTACAATCAACACATAGTTGCATTATTTGACTCCCAAAAGCATATGACAAAAAAATATTGGGTGATCCCCTGTTGAAACTTAGGAACCTTGAAAAAACTTGCTATTTACTCCTGTTCTGTACAGATGCAACTTGGATGCGCTAGTAACACTAATCTCAGTGTTAGCAGCTGCAAAAAGAACATCACCTTCGGTGACTGCATGTCCTTTGGCTGATCCTGTTTTCATTGTTCCATCACCAACTGTGACCAAAAAGATGGAAGGACCAGGAACTGCTGGGAACACCACTGTTTCCCCTTGAGGAAGTATACAACGATCAATCTCAAATTCCTCAAATGGTGGGGTATATTTATTTACATATGGATTAACAGGAACTCCTCGCAAGATCTCAGGAGAACCCTATAAGGAAATAGACACCAACATGGATCAATTCATGGCCAAGATGAAAGAAAATTGACTAGTGCCGAAGCTTAATGATTAAATGTAAGGCTGAATTACAAGGTTTAACAAGTCATTATTAGCACTCCTATCAAATGATAACCAAAGGAAAAAAGTATATTCCTTCAAGTAAGCTGAATATCTGATTGAAAAGATGCTGCAACAACTTTGATGTATCCATTTACCTGTTTGTATGTGAGCATAGAACAAAGGGTCTGGACATCTCTGAATTTCGGAGTAAGACCAGCACGCACAACATTGTCAGAAGTTGCCATGCATTCAACGCACTCCCCAGATAAATATGCATGTGGTTCGTTTGCACCGAGGAACAAAGATTCGCCTGGATTGAGTTTTACATGGTTGAAAAAGAAGGCTGCTATGACACCAATATCAGCTGGGTATTGCTTTTCCAACCGCAGCACCAGCAGCTCTTTTTCTGTCAACTGCCTCGCCTGATGCAAAATGAGAATAACATGGTATTGGTTGCTGGCATAATTCAACAAAAAAGAAAGATAAATAAAAAACAAACTATTTTTTTAGAGCAACACAAAGAGATTCATAATGCAACAATAAGGTGAAGCAGTAAAGCTGCCACAGTATCCTCTATCAGTACACTATGGTGACAACAACAATGATTGCAGAATCAGTAGTTGTATTCGTCATTACTCTTGAGCATAAAGATTATGTGACCCTAAGAACAAACTAAAACCGCCCTATATTTCTGATTCTTCACAAAAATATGTCATGCATCTCTGGATGATTTTCCTGTCACTGTCACATTTACACGGACTTCATATTATATTTGAATAACATTGTGTGGTATAAAAAGCAATAAACACACAAAAATAGATTAGCACGTAACTAAACTCTTAAGTCAAACAGAACAAGTTGTAATCAACTAACCTCACTTTCCTTAAGCAGACGAATTTTCAATCTGTTTACTGCATCAGTTACTTTATCTTTACTAGCAGACATGAGGTCAGTGAACACTGCCCGCAAAACAGGTTTCACCTTTTCTTCACCATCCTGATCGTTAGTTTGTAAAACAAGGTTTGTATTTGTAGCACCAACCAGTTCCACAATTTCAGGAATAGTATGAAGCACAGCCTTTAGCTCCTACAAAGAAACAGGGCAGATTGCTCATTTGCTCCCGGTGAATAACATTACAACGATGAATTAAAATAAACCAGTAAATAATGTACTTTCATCTACCAATAAACAAGATCTAACCCTTTGAAAGACAGAACAAACAGGGGGAAAAAATAACCAGGGAAAAAAATCACTGATCTACACAACCACTCAAGGAGAACCTCTTCCTCATGAATTGTAAACATCTTTTAATTATTGACATCATTAAAAATACAGAATTCATTTCATGTTAAACTATCCTCAAATTAAAGTAACATAGCTGCAGGTTGGCAGTCCTACACTTAACAGATCTATAATAAAAATAAATCAAACTTCCACTATCTTCCCTATAACTAACACTTCAATATTTTATTCATTCAATGGTTCAAACGGTTATCATTTGATTTTTTTCAAATGTTGCACTATATTAATTTTTTTGGTCGGCTATCACAGGTTGCATTGCATCAGAAAGAAGCCTGTGAACAAGGGGAAATGTGATTGACATAATAACGAAAGTAAAGTGGGCAGAAAATAATCATTCAGTCACATCACAGGGAAATACACCTAACAGGCGGTCAGTTCTTATCCAATCACTCGAAGTCCAAGAAAACTGAATATTTTTAACTTTAAAAAATTGACTTTTAGCACATCAAAATCAAACCAACAATGATCTCGTTAAAAATTTATAATTTAATTACCATCAACAAGAGTATTTAAGACAGAAAGAAAATTCATAAGAACCTACCAATTTTTCTGCCGTTTCACAAACACAAAAAAGTAATTGTTCTCAAGACAGTCAATGAACAACCAAACCAGTTATTTTATTCTCATAAACGCTCCTAGAACTAAATATAATAACAACTAACAAGGTTAAATTATTCATTTTGTTCTTGTAATTATTCTTATTTTATGCTTAGTTCCTACAAAAAGAATTGTAAGTTTTAGTCCCTATACAGTTTTTGTAGTAAAAAATTTCTTGCAGTAACTTTATACCGTCAACAAATCTTCTATTGCGTTATGAACAGGGATGAAAACTTAACTTATATGCATCACGCCTAGGAATTAAAACTTTCAGTTTTCTCCTGAATCCAACTACAAGAACCAACTAAAACTTAAAAAAGAAACAACTACAAGAACCAATCAAATACTTTGTTTTTAACCATGTTATTAGTGTGGAGTATTCACTGATTTTGTAGAGATGACAAATCCCAACCTGAATCGGATTAATCAAATACTTGGTTGTTGTTAACCAATCAAATAGTTGAAGTTAACATAATAAGAATGATAAGAATCGAGAGAATTGAGTACCTTAAGAGTGACGAATCCGCAAAGAGCCTCAAAGTTAGTGATTGCAAGAGCCATCTCAGGTTTGTGATTCCCATCTTTATAAACATCAGGGTGCAGCTTATGCAGAGTCCTGGCCAACTCCTTATCCGGGTGAGCCTGTATTGACAGGGCCTTCCCCACAGACAACACCTAAAAAAACAATGCATGCAACAAAACAAAAAAGGATTCAATCTTTGGCGAAAAGCGAGACAGCCATTTACACAAAAACGGCAAAACAGAGAGAGACCTTGAACAAGAAAGGGAGATCAGTGCCCCATTTGTGAAGAACCTGGTCGCCGAGCACGTGGGGGTTGTCGGAAATCCATGCCTTGAGGGTGACCCTTTTGGAGGCCAAGAAGGAAGGGCCTGAATCGTGAGTACCCATCCAAAGCTCCGCGTAAGGGTCCTGCGCGTGGAATTGGGAGGAGGAATTGAGCGCGTGGAGCCTGGCAACCTCGGAGGCGCTACCTGGGAGACCCCAATCGTAGTTTTTGACGGAGCAATGGAGCTTCTGGAGATGGGAGTTTGCGGCGGCGGCGTCGTCGTCCATGGGTGTGTGCGTGTGCGTCTTTGGAATTGAGTATCGGAGTCAGATGAGAAGAAGGGAAGAGAATGAGAATTGGAATTGAGAATGAGGCATTGGTTTGGTTTGGTGGTATTTGAAGAGAGAGAGAGAAAGATGGCGCAAGCCACAGGGCGTGTCCTTTTCTGATGCCAACTTTAACTTCCGTTCCTTTCTTTCTTCTTGTCAACTCTCATCTTATCTTCTTCTCTTTTTCATTCTTCTTCTTCTACTTCACCTTTCTTTCTTTCTTCCTTCCATCTGTCTAAGAGCACGAAATTTCGTAAACCCACCACAATCTCGTCCAGACAATCTATGAACTTTCTTCCCCGTAACTCTCACTTTCACTTTCCATCATTACATTATTATTATTAGAGTTAATTATACCCATAATTAATTATATTTACTTAAGTTTAGAAGGATTACTACAATGATAAATTTTAATGTTTGTTAAATGGAAAAGTTATAAAGTTGTATCATGTAGCTTATTTGTTCAACAAAATAGAATGATAAAACAAACATACTCATAATACACTATCTCTTGATATCTAGAATTTATTAAAAATCACAAAATCAATAAAAATGTTATTAAATATGGTGTGAGGTTCACCAAAAAATAAAACAAATCTTTTACAATCTCATTTATCAGCAGATAAGTTAATGAAGTGACTTATACTTTATCTAAAAATTAAATCTTATTTAGAATTTGTCATATTTTCTATATAATTTCTCATTGTGTTCAAAACTTAATTTATATTGATGAAAAGTATCTGATCTTGTAATTGTAAAAGAAAAAAAAAGTGTTAATGTGATCGATGTTCATCATCTAATGTCATATTAAAAAAATTGGTTAAATATTTAACACATGATTGGTGAGAGATAAAAATAACATAATTATAATATTTGAAGGATTTAATTACATAATTAAATTATAAAAAATTAAAATTATACAATTATGATATTTAAAAGAGAAAAAAGAGAATTAAATCTTTTTTATATTATCAATATTAAAATTAGATACTTTCTTCATACTCAAATGCAAGTAAATCTTAGTTAGTTTAGTTTTATTTAATGATAACATCTCCAAAAAAAAACTTTTTCATTTAATTGATATTATATTTTTATTAACTTTTATTTTTTTTGTTTTTAATGTCAATCTAATGAAATTTATTTTTAATTAAGATTGTAAAATTAAATAATGTTAACAATTTTTTAATTAATACATAAATTACTTAATTTCACTTATATGCGAGAGTTAGAAGGAGATACAGGAATTGATAGAGTATTTAACTAACCTATATAAATGTGGGCTTGTATTCACAAGACCAACTCATATATTTAGTTATTTATCGTTAGAGTATTTAACTTAAATTTATAAATAATTTTGTATTTGGATTGATTAATTATTGAGAAATAAAAATAAAATAATTACTTTAGTTTTTAATTATAGTTTTTGAAATCTTATTTTTTTTTTGAAAAATTTAAAATTATAATTCAGTTTTCTCTAATATTATTCATTAAGAGAAAAATGAAAATAATTTTATATAAAAGTGATATATATATATATATATATATATATTGTACTGCAGTTAAATTGTTCATTTTGTTATAATTATTATTATTTTTTTTATTATTTTTTGTTTAGCAACGGTTGACTTGATCCCTTCCGAAAGGTGATTCATTTTGACGTGTTATTAGATTTTTTCTTTTTTGTCTGGCGTGTTTTTTTATATTAATTTTTTAGTATGGTCAACATGATTTTTTTTTTAATGCCTCGTTCCGTCTGTGGAAAACTAATCCCTTTTGATTTAATATAAAATTTATCCTTTTTCAAAGCATCTTTTCATAGATAAATTTTAAATTTGAATTAAGAATAACGTGTTTTTAGTGTTTTTTCAGACCAACTTTCTAATTAATTAATGAATTAATTAATAAGTTTTGCAATTACATGTGATATAAAATATAAATAGAGTTTTGTCATACATTTGAGAACAAAATCGTGTGTGGTCTTTTTATATTTTATAAGGAGGACCCTTATGCCTCTCGAAATTAATATAGTTTTAATGGTTGAAAAGGTTTCGTAGGTGAAAAAAAGAAGGATGAGCCTTTTACGAAGAAGCAAGCAAAGCTAAAATAAGACACCGTGAGTAACGCAGGTACTACCCTACTTACAAAGGGTACAGTGACGAGAAAGCAATAATAATAGAGTCAACTTCTATATGATAAATATTTAAGATTTTGGTTAATAATTTTAAATAATACTCAATTACATATTATTTATAAAAATTAATTAGATATAAGCAATGTTTATTTTTATCATGATGAAGAGGACACGTGATATGAGTGAGAAAAAAAACAATAGAAAATGACAAAAGCACCCTCAGGTGACGCAGAAACGAGTGGGTCCCACCAACCCACAACAAGGACTACTCTGTTTTTTCTATCGCCGACAAAACCAACGCACCTTCCATGCACAAAAATAATTCTTCATTCAATTTATGCCTATTAACTTTAATTCATATATAATTAATTACCAATTTTCAGCTATTTATGAAAAATTAACACACTACTACATGCATTGGAGAAAAGAAAAGAAAAGGATTAAAGAGCAACTCCTAATAATAACTCATTCATTTGTTACGATAGAGTGAGCTTGCCCACGACGAAAGTGAATGAAGGTGACGTGGGTGGAGAACCAACAAGCCTTTTGCATTGCTCATGTGCCTCCAAAAGAATTTTTTTTTTTTTTTTTAATTTGTGAACATGATTCATACTATATTTTAAAATTGATAAAATTAATGATTAATTTGTACTTAAGAAATATAATTTTTACTAATTAAATATTACTTTAATACAAATAAGAAGAAAATGAAATGAAACTTTATTTTTTCCCCCTTTTTTTTAGATATCATATATATCTTCTAAGAGACCATTCAAAATCTTTTCCTTTAATATTTAATATATTTATATACTTAATATTTAAATTCAAGATTATAAATTAAGAGTATGTTCAAATAAATTTCTCTAAAAAAATACTTTTAGAAGAGAAACATAAAAAACTTGAAACAAATCCCGATACCTAATGTTACCTAAAATCCCGTTTCTTGTTAAGTAAATTTTTTCTTTAAATATTGTTTGTTGGACACTCTATTGCATATATTTTTTAGCCATCAATTATAATCAATTTTGTTTTGAAGAGTCTATCAATTGTTAATTATACGGTCTAAATTTGAAAACTTTGATGTATAAACCAGGAATCGAGAAATATATGTAATACCATAAAAATTATGATATGATATCATAACAACAATAGACAGTTATATTAATTTATGTATAATTAGTATTTTATTTTATGCATAGAGTCAAACTCAATATGTAAAACTTATTACTATAACTAATTATAAAAATAAATAAAAAACTGAAAAGTTATTCATATATTGTAATTAAATTAAATAAACATCAAATAATTTAACTACATAAAGTTTAATAATTTTGTTTGTGAAATCCGACATTCAGATTCCAAGGAAAATTTGGTCGAGTGTTTATCGTTTGCAAGTTCTATATTGATAGTATTGTAATTAATTATCATAAACTAACAAAGCTTTCCTAACAAGTAACAGTAGAGAACCAGACTTTAAAGTCACAAAATAATTTGTGCATGTACGTAGCTGACTTTGATATGTGGAATTTTCTTTAAGATCCATGGATATATGAAATTTAATGCAGAGAAGTTTAATGAGTTGTGGGCTACACCTTGCGGCAGCTATGATGTATAAATAGGCCCATTTCCTTTATTGGGCTTTAGGATTGAGGCTTCGTAGCTGTAGGTGTGTTTGGATCCATAATGTATTGCTTTATAAACAAACTTTTGGGATACTTTGCGCTTCAAATTAAGACTAATTTTATTGATAATATTTTGAGTAACATCATATCATTCCAAATACCTCGTTAATATTCATCATTTTTCTATTTCTATTCTTTTGCTTTATTGTATCACCTATCATCTTTACATTTATATCTTCGTAGAAGAAAAATAATAAGAAGTGAGATGGTTTTTAAGTTGTTTGGTGGAGAGGAGAATAATGTAGAATACTTATCCGACAAAAGAACAAATATATTAATTTATGACTTGTTCAAAACATAAACATTAAAAAGAAGCAATATTTCTAAAGTGTATAATACATGTCACAAGTTAACAATCTTAAAAAAATAATTTGTTAAGTAAAGATATATAAACGATTTTATGTTATATATCCACAAAAGAGACGGATGAATATGTAGAACTTGATTAAAGTGAAATCATGATCATGCGATGCGAAATTCTTTTGCAATTTGCAATCAGTACAACACTAACCTGGGGGTGGATACAAAATGCGTACAATAATGAATGATCCTATTCCTTTCACAAAATGGAACTACTGTTTTAATGGCATGTTGTAATTACTTTTAATTGGTTTTGACTTTCTTTGTGGCATGAATTTCTTCTGTTTAAGATATTCCTTTTCTACATAAAGTCACTCTTTATTCTATTTTTTATAAATTCGTGGGAAGCTAGCTTTCTGCAAAAACCATATCAATTACAGTCAAATATATATGCATTTTCTAAGCTATTCATTGTCAACCGAAGATAAGAATATAATGAATCATGCAAAAAATGTCATATTTGCCACTTTGGTAACATTCTGTTAGAAGCAAACAAGCAGCATTTCTTCTCTACAATGGTGGAATTCTGAACAAACAAGGTTCTTGGGCCATACTTATCTATTATTCGTGATATATATATATTCACATCTGAATTTGGCGAATCAGAACCATAAACAGTGAAAGTAAGAGAATTTAACTTGGGAACATGTACAAATAACTAAATAGTGGTTTATTTTCATGGACCCTTGTGTAATTACTCTCTATATATAGCTTATAGGCATTCAAATTATAAATTATAGGAACTGCATGGTTAAGACTATAACAAGTTTGGATAGAGAATGCTTTTAGTGACCCTCAAAGGCTTCCAATACTTTATTGTATGATCGATTTCCATATCGAGAAACATGAAGAGTTGGAAGCTGCTGAGGGGATCACTAAAGGAACTACTCATACATATTTTGATCATCCTTGTCAGCCAAATACTGTGAGTGTTTGAATTCGTTATGTGTTATTGAGTTGCACCATTGGAGCTCCAATCTCAATTACAGTATTAAACTTGGAACAAAATACGTACATAATTAAACTGAGTTTATTTTATTAGATGTTTATGGTTAACGATATTATTAGTTGGGAGCACCTAGTTTTAATAATTTATCTTATAGATATATATATATATATATATCTATATATATATATATCAAACTTTTCATTTTTTAACAAATTAACAAATAAATTTGACTATGCATGTTGGCAAATTGATTGGGATTGAATTATTAGTGAGACCCATTAATAATTTTGTAAAAATACTGTATTAAAAAATTGAATAGTTTATAAAGTTCTTAAATAAAAAATAACAAAAATGAGTGATGTTCATAAATAAAAGTGAATGTGTCATGATGACTTAACTTATTCTATTTTCTTATTCTGTTTTCTATTTGTATTTTTTAATTCAGTTAGGAGGTTAGGAGGTTAGTTAGTCATAGTTTGTTTTTCTCTTGTATTGCTGTAACTATATATACTTGTAGTTGATCATTGTTAAATGGGGTTTTTCAATATATTTCTGATTTCACATTCTTCTTCTTCTCCTTCTTCAAGAAAGTTTCTTTCATGATATTTTCATGGTGATTTCTTTATCAAAATTGTAATATGGTATCAGCCTGTGCTAGGGCTCTGTGTTTTTTTTTCCTTCCCTCTTCCATCAATTAAAGATCTAATGTTGATGACTTGATTATTTCAGGTAGTGATGAAACAGAGATTATGAAGGTAAAGAGGCTTCTGGACAAACAATTTAGTATCAAGGATCTTGGCCAATTGAGCTACTTTCTTGGTCTTGAGTTTTCTAGATCAGATCAAGGCATTTCTGTTTGCCAGAGAAAGTATGCCCTTGAGTTGTTGCAAGATACAGGACTATTAGCATCCAAACCATGTTCTACTCCAATGGATCACACAACTAGGCTTCACCATGATCCACTTGATCTCTATTCAGATCCATCATCATATAGAAGACTAGTTGGCAGATTGATTTACTTAACCCACACAAGACCTGATTTGGCCTTTGCTGTTGGAAAATTAAGTCAATTCATGCACCAACCAAACAATGCACATTTTCAAGCTGCTCGGAAAGTGCTTAGATATGTGAAAGCTACTCCAACAAAGGGTCTATTCTTCCCATCCTCATCAGATCTTAAGCTCACAGGTTATACAGATTCAGACTGGGCCACTTGTCCTGATTCAAGGAGATCCATTTCAGGCTTCTGTTTTTTTCTGGGCAATGCGTTAGTTTCTTGGAAAAGCAAGAAACAAAATGTGGTGTCTAGATCTTCATCTGAAGCTGAATATCGAGCCTTAGCATTAGGAGTTTGTGAAGCTCAATGGCTTCATAAGCTGTTGACAGACTTTCAACTGCAAGATCTCATTCCAATATCTCTGTTTTGTGATAATCAGTCAGCCTTGTACATTGCTGCTAACCCTGTATTCCACGAAAGAACTAAGCATGTGGAAATTGATTGCCACACTGTCAGAGATCAAGTTCAAGCAGGATTTATTCATCTAGCTCCAATCACTTCATCTGGACAGCTTGCTGATATTTTAACTAAGCCTCTTTTACCAAAAATGTTCCAGGATTTTGTGTGCAAGCTTGGACTTTCAAACTTTACCACTCCAAGCTTGAGGGAGGGTGTCATGATGACTTAACTTATTCTATTTTCTTATTCTGTTTTCTATTTGTATTTTTTAATTCAGTTAGGAGGTTAGGAGGTTAGTTAGTCATAGTTTGTTTTTCTCTTGTATTGCTGTAACTATATATACTTGTAGTTGATCATTGTTAAATGGGGTTTTTCAATATATTTCTGATTTCACATTCTTCTTCTTCTCCTTCTTCAAGAAAGTTTCTTTCATGATATTTTCATGGTGATTTCTTTATCAAAATTGTAATAGAATGATGTGCATAAGCGATGTCCACTTAAGTATGTCAAATGATAAACTAGGTTACCCGCAACCCATAAAACAAAGCCAAAATTTTCATGTAAGTATGGATTTCTATTGAATTTTTTTCATTGGAGTGTGTTCCTATTTAATATAAGGTGTTTATATAAGCACTGGTTCTTAATACTGAAAGTGGACCCAACAAATAATTTTATAATAAAAAATAATTGTGAAAGGAGAAATAAAAAACACATACAAAATTAGTGTTGGTTATATAATAAGAATAATTATTAAAATAAAAATCTTGGACACGTAAGCAAAAGTAGCAGGATTGAATTTTTACCATAGCAATTTAAGTTATTTTTTTAACCATTTTAAATAAAACGTAATTTATGAAAATTAATTGTTTTAATTTTTTTATTTTGTATTAGTAAAAAGATTAACATAATAATAACGAGATAGAGTTATTGACAAATAAATTATCAACTTTTATTTTATAAATAAAATAATTATAAATTAATAAATAAATCGTTGAAGAAATGAAAGGATGTAAAGTTATTAGCGGGACTCATTTAGCAATTTTTGTAAAAAAAAAAAAATTGAGTTGGAGAAACTGAATACTTTATTAAGTTTTTAAATAAAAAATAGTAAAAATGAGCTATGCCTATGAGTGAGATCAATTTAAATATCTTGAATCTTAAATAGAAACTCACTCCGACAGTACAAATACTTAAATAGAAGACTTAACTTTAGTATGTGTTGCCTTGCTCAAAGAGAGAAGAAAGTAAACAATTGTAATATAATAAAAGAAAAGATAGATAAAAATATAAAACAAATATAAAAATTAGAGTATAAGAAATTAAGATTGATGAAACTCATACACTTATGATTAACATTAATCTATAAACTTATTATACCTAAAATCATATATATATTGTATATCATATCACCAATAATGTCGGACACAATTGGTAAATAGTTAGGTTTCTTAATTATTTTGTAAGAGATTCAATTTTTGAATATTTATATATGAAGAGAACTTTTTTGACGGATATAAAATACATTTGAGTAATTTATACATTTCAAAAGAAATTAAATAGTCTCTTACTACCTATTGAGATATCTTTGCTATAAAAATACATATACTGTATATATTACATATTTTCAATATTTTAAAATTTTGTTTATATTGAAAACATTTTAAAATTGAAATTTTTTTAGAAAGAATATTTTTCTAAAACTAAAAACCAAATTAACAATTTTTCCTTCTTAATTTTATAAATAAATGTAAATTTTTTTTTTGAAAAAGTTAAAAATCAGCATCCAACAGCAATTGACCTTTGGCTTCCTTGGAAGTTGGTTGTTGGAACAGGACCAAGATGCTCAAAGCAAATCAAAACGCATAGGGAAAAAAAATGATGCTTGTAGATTTTTTTTAAAGGGACGATGGTATTGACACGAGTATCATTGAAAATAGTCTCTTTCAGGACTCTGATGACATTAAAATTATCCCTCCCGTTAATTTTTTATTGATCTAGAGGGTATTAAGGTTATTCTTTTGATTCTGTTTTTTTTTAATCAAATTTAAGATCTTGGGACTTGGTTGCATTAAATTATTCTTCTTAGAATTTTATTTTATTTATCAAATCCAAGATTCAAACTAGAGATTTTTAAGATTTGAGAGTCACTTGCAACATCATGTCATATCAATGAATATGTGATTCACAATGTGTTTGTAGGTTTAAGACTTCATGCAGTAGAGATTGAGGGTTTTAATTTATTAAATAAAATTTTATTTTCAATTTTTATTACAAAAAAATTGCTAAAATGATTTTGTATTTTCAAATAGACTAATATTTTAGCATGTGTAATGCATTGATATATATATTTTTTATATATAATATTAAAATTTATTATAAATTATATATAAATAAATATTAAGTTTGAATATATATTCTATTCAAAATTTGTATAAATAGATATTTTTAAATGTATAAATTATATTTTAGATTTATAATAAATAATTTATATTATAACATAAATTATTTTTATTTCTTGATAATTATTTTAACACATTAATATTTAATTCATAAATAATTATGATAAATAAAAATTAAATTGGATATAGTTAAAAAAAATTTTACAATTTTTCTCATCCAAAAATTTTTCTAAAAACACGTACTTTCATACAAAATAGTGATTCTATTGATATATTATAGGAGTTGATTATCTGATTTGACTTAAATTAGGATCTACTATTACTTATAATACTATTATTAGAATGAATATAATTTATAAAAGAAAGGGTATATTTCTATATAAATGTTACATTATTTTTAGAGAAAATAAATTATATATTTATAGGATAAAATAGTTTTACACTATCATTAAACAATATGATAAACTTATTGATTTTTAGAATAATTCTTTTAAAGTTTATACCAATAATAATTTTTAATTGATTGATATAACATTTTTTACATAGACAGTACATAAATATTAAACAGTTTTTTATATCACTTTTTTACATAATACAAACTGATCGAAGTACATATTTTAATAATCCTATTTCTTTCTAAACAAATAGTGTAATATATGACCAGTTAATTTTATATCTATTCTTTCATCGGACTTATATATTATCTGACATAGGTTGATTTAGGTGAACTTTGAGTTCAAATTAAAGCTTCAAAAACTAAACTCTATTTATAGCATTTTATTTTGTAAAATATTTATAATTATAATAAAGGGGATTTTATCCCATTTTATCTTTATTTATTTATTTTTTTTATAAATTTCAAATTTTTTATTCTTTTATGTAAATTTCACTTCATAATCATCATTTGTATTTTTAATAACTCTCACTGTTATATAATTTTTAATTATTTATTATATTTTAAAAATAATTTACGAAGGCACAAAGTACCTTATTAGTGACAATAAATAAATAGAATTACTCATGTTACAATTACAAATAAATATATATATATATATATGTGAGAGAGAGAAAGATTTAAATAATATTAGTGTAATTTTTATTAATTATTATATTTTTTAATAACTTTTAATTAAATATGAATTTTATCGATTAAACTGTTGAATTATAATTTTATATTATCTTATATGTTATATTAAATTTTGTTAAAATTAAATAATAATTCAAAAGTAATTAAAATATTTATATTTTAATATATATATATATATATATATATATATATATATATAACA